CTTAACTACATTTTTGCTCGATCATTGTTGTAGGGGGCTGGTAACGTAATTATTAGGGAAGTGTTCAGGAATTTATTTGGGGATTATTTTTGTCATTTAAAGTATTTGTTATTGTCGTATTGAAGATACATTTTATTTGCCGATCCTGCACCGTTTTGTCAGGATTAATAAATCAGAATTGCTCGTAGTGAATTTATTATTTGGCTCTCTTGTGTTTTCCCAATTTCTATACAGGAGAGGTCAGAATTTGTGCAAAATTGGGTGGCGCTCAACTAATCATTTCTAGTGACTACCAAAGATCAAAAACTTATGTTATATGCCCAAACGAACAAACCGCTGTGGAAGATTCTCATCTCGAGCCCTTCTTTTAATTAAGAATCTGAGCTAGCTGGCCGTTTATGCGGCGGGGTTTGAGTTTTACAGCGCCGAACTAACCTCACGTTATAAGATAATATAAAAATTTGCATTCGTAGTAATTTTTCTTTAAGCAACTTGATGATCATTTACATTTCCCCTAAATGGACGGATCCCGTTAGCATATTATGTTACCACTTTATCAGAATTTCTATAACACGTTAGCTACAGGCTACTACTTTCTTATTTTTGGGCGCCATGTTAGATTTTTACGGAATGAAGCCAAAAAAAGAAAAATAATGACGTCACACTATCCTGCTTTTTACAGGAAAAGTTTCAAAATCAGAAGTTTTGCATTAATTTTTCAACAAAATATCCACGGGTACTAGATCTTGCTGAATCAGGTGATGGCAATACATTCAAATGAATTTATTTTTTTGTCCTATCTCATTCCGTAAAAATTCAATATGGCGCTCATAAGAACTAAGAGCAGTAGCTTCTACATCTAGCGTGTTATGGAAATTCTAATAACAGATTTAAATTCTTCGAAAAAAATGCCCTTGAAGATGCTAACGGGAACCATCCATTTCCGTCCATTTCAACTAGGGGAAAAGAATCCGAAATAAAATATTTCCAGTTTTTCGGTGATATCTCAAAGATTTTTCAAAAATTTCAAATGTGTTTCTTTAGTTACAACAAGGGTAAACTTTGCTCTCATTTAACCTACACTGTATCTCAGTTAAGTAAACCCCAATGGTGAGCCACGAATTTGAACCACCCTGTGAACATAAAAATGTATCCTCTTATAGTTTATTTATACGGCAATTTTAAAACCAAGTGACTTGATCGTAAGCTGACACGAATATAAAAATAGCTGAAATAATACAAGAAAATTAATTCAGCATGCTGTTGAAGCTTTCATTATAGAGGTAGTGTAAGTCACAATTCATGAGATAAATGCAAAACCATTTATTTCCATAAATAAATATAATTGAGTAGCATACGAGGTAGCATATTATCTTTCATATTATTTCGAAGCCATTTTGGTTTCGTGTTCAATCGATATATTCATTGGACCATCTGAGATGTCGGATGTTAGTTAGGTTGCGATTTATCTACCGTCTTATCTCCTGCGTTATGCAGAATGCAAGGGGTGCTCTAATTCAAATCTTGCCCCCTTTAGATGAACAAGTAATCATTCAAATGGCAGTTGCGTATGCTTTTCACTAATAACCCCTGCAATAAATTGATCATTTTGGAATTCTATGTGAATTATATGTAAGATTTGTCAAGGATTTAGCCTGAACTTTTAATATGAAATGCGTTATGTCGTTAAAACACTTTATTTCTGAACCCAAGTAGTCAAGTAACAAACAACCGTTTCAGTCTTTCTCAATTCTAACGAGTATCATCATATTTGACTATTTACTGTTGTCAAATGTTAGGTACTAAATGATTTACATTAGTTAACATATAGGTATATTCGTGGATTTTATTTGCTGCCCCTTACTATCATTTTTTAAAGATTTCTAAAGCGAATTCTTGGTTTATCGCTAAGATGCGTTTTATATAACCATTGAATAAAAACCATTATTAAATGATATAACAAACAATCATGGTAGCCTTTGGCTACGCTTACTTTATTAAATCATCAAAATACTTGAGTTAAGTAGTCTTAATTGGTAATAATGACATAATGACTTGATACGAGGGTCGTTTGATAAGACTCATGTTTTTAAATGAATAACAAGATACAGAACCAAAATATATTTTCTTTTTCGAGGTAGTGATATCCATTATATGAGTACCATGCGAACAAAAAAGAGTTGCTGTCGAGTGACCTTTGGAATTTTTGTTTACATCTTTAACTTGAACTTCCAAAGGCGACTCGACGTCAATCCTTTTTTGATCGCCCATTATATCCTGATATACATCCTTTCATTCACCTCTTTTTTTAAGCGCAAGGAATTGATCCCATACTCAATCAAACAAATGGTTTGTGCTGTTTAGTTTTGAGTTGACACTATTGACATTTCATAGAGTACCTACTATTTATTTAATCGCTTTTAACCAGAAATTCTGATATGGTAAATTTTATTAACCTTTTTGGAGACTAAAGGTAAACAAATACAGTTAAAAAAATCAAAAATGTTACCGGAACAGGAAATAATGGGCTATTTTCTGTTCTGTTCTGTTTTGCAGATGACCATACACAGGGTCGCGTCTAACCTTTTCCAGGCCCTAGGCACACAAATAGTGTAGGGCCCCTTACCCCCTGGTTTGTACTTATATCTCATAAAAACACAGGTATACCTACTTATGGTTTCAATTTTATTAATTTAACTTAATTTAACTACTAATAGAGAGTTATATCTTTTGTTTTCTAACTTTAGAGTGAACAGTTAACGAATGTATTAATGATTTTGTCGTAGCACAAAGTGTTCAGTATATATTAATGTAATTTTCTTTGCAATATGAATATCGTCAACTATCAAAGATGCATGCATCTTCGCAGGCCCCTAATTTCAACGGGCCCTAGGCTCATGCCTACTGTGCCTAGGCGAAAACGCGGCACTGACCATACATGGTTGTTGGTTTTCCAAAATCATTCGACTTTCTTAAAACTAGACAATCTGGAATTATATACACACTACACATACACACACAGGGCATTCGTTTTGGGTTACTATGCTTATAGAAAATGAGGGTGATCTGCTGGCTGTAAAAGTACTTGGCGGTCGTACTTCATTAAAAAATGAGTAGTCCTTGACAGCCTTGGCAGTTATTTATTAACGGCCATCGGCCATTATTTAAGACTTTTCATTTGTCCTTTGAGGGTCGTTAAATTGATATAACAGTATTCCTCTTCCCCACAAGTATCGATGATAATGCCCCTTTCACGAATTTGGTTAGGATAAAATGATCTTCAGTCTTCGGCATCCCCTTACTCACTCTTGAACTTTTGGTTGTCTTCAGAAAAATTCCTAAAAACAAAATAAAATATAGAGATATGTCCCAGCCGAATAGGATAATATTTCTTACATGTACTACAAACCATTTGCATTTCTATTGAATGATAGTGATACATATAACAAGATAGATACACTGTATTCGTATTGTATTGTACATATTGCCCATCCATTAATGTCTGCAACATTATTGCAACGAAAAATTAGCGCAGCGTGAAAGGCGTTTTTCAATAAATGTTTGATGAAATCCTCTGCCAATTATGTTACGCAGGCAAATTTCCGCAAGTTTTAACCCTAAGGGAGCAAGAAATTTTGTAAGAGGATTCTAAGATGAGAAGCAACCGTTCATAACATGATTACTGTATCTGTGTAGGGCATAATTAAATTCAATTCCCCTCGCGACGTTATGCTGAGACGGACGTCTTCCCTTCATTGCATGCGTCAGCAGCAAGCCGCTAAATTATAATGAAGTTCTTTGATGTAGGTGCAAAAGCAAATTTGTGGTTTTTAAGAAAATTCTATTTGTATATTTGCGCAATGTTTCTACATATATTGCTTTTACCTTAGGTACAATTTACATTACATTAGAAACACTATGAAATCAATTTTAGAGGCGTATTTTGGGTGCATTTAGATACACTTGTTTTACAGTGCTCTATTTTCAATTGTGTAAAGAAAAAATGCTTTTTGTAAATAAATTCAGAGATTAACATTAATGTTTAATAATAATTGTGGTTTAAATAGAGAGAAACATATAAGTATGTATGTAGAAAAAAATTGGTGATAGTGGGGATCAAAATACATATTTTTTTCCAAATAAACCGAGGGCCCAACGGGTTGCGTTTGGGAGGGACTCAAAAAAGTGCTGAAATTAGCATTTCTTCTTTAGCGGCCATAAGGGTGACAAAGATACATCCTTATAAAACTTTTTCTAAAATTTTTACCCCCAAGGAGGCCCGCCTGTTTTTATAAACGGGGCTGCAAAAAATTCTGATCTTGACGAAATTTGGTGTTTTACGTGATAAAAAGATGTAATATAATGTTTCGTTTCTGACATTGTGAATTAAGCTTCCTTGGGAAAGAGATAAGTACAATGCTGTTACATCAGCGGTTTTTGTAGACCAACTTAGAGTTAGCAAACCAATGAAAATTAACTAGGGATCACGGCCATTGCTTTCCATCATGTAAGTAAATTACTATTGAAATTGAAATTCCTATGGTACGTTGTTTAAGTCACCACCCGGTATAAAGAAAGCAACGGGTTTTTCGTATTTGATATTTTCCAGCACTTCTGGCAGAAGGGCCCCATGACAATTTTCGCGTAAGCGCAACAAGACAATATTTGCATATGGTATACATGACATATGAGAATGACAAATGAACTTCTGTTATAGACCACAAGGACAATTTATTGACAATACCATAAAAACCTGTTGCTTTTACTTTCTTAATAGGTAATTATCAACTTAATTACATTTAAATGGTTTGTTTTCGTCCCTACCAGAAAATTAGATTGCGCCCTAAAGCGTTTTTCCCGAGAAATCATGGCTTCTTACAACTACATCTTGCAATTATTCAAAAATGGAATTCGAAGCAAACACTGATGAGAAGAGGCCGACTGATTGTGGTCACCAAGCCCAAATCAACCACCTTTACATTTCGATTAAAACAAATATACGCAATTTTAAACAAACAGTTTATTTCTAGTTATATTACATTTGTTAAAATTTAGTAAATTAGTTAAGCCTTCTTTAGTGGAGGTAGGACAATGTTTTCCTTCTTCAGGTCATCTGCGTATAAAGTTCTGTACTCGTGCGTTTTATCGAATAGAGATTCGATTTCTAAGAAGTCATTGGGCCTATTCTCAACGATCCATTTAAGGATTTTCTTAATCTTCTTCTTTTGGGTTTCGGTGCATTTCTCGCATCGTGTCTTTAAAGCGTCAGGAACCAATTCTAAAAGTTAAAAAACAATTAAACATATACACTTTCATTTTATTGACAATGTCGTTGATCAAGATAATGAAATGAAATATGCTTTACTTTTACTCATTACAAAATATCAGTGAGGAGCACAATTACAAAAATAAACTGCGTAACTTACCTCTAAACTTTTGTGCATCTGGGGAGCATTTTTTACCAGTCTTGGCGCAATTGATGTAGTTGTCTACGAGACGTTTGCTTGCGAGAATTTCGTCTTCGTTAATGTTATCGAATTCGTCAGTATAAAGTTCCTTGGGACGTGCCCAGGTTGCGGCAATGATGGTAAAAAAAAGTACAACAAGTAAGGTCTTCATTTTTCACTTCTTCACTACAACGACTAATTACCGTTTGACTGCTGTCTGACTTCTGTGGCCATTTATAGGGAAATATTTGTGTATACAAACAGAGGGGGCAAAACAAATTCTTGTTGTTTGTTAAGGTAACACCTTACGTCATTCTTTAAATTTCTAGTTTTTACCGCATATCGCAACATAGCGTATATCCCAAAAACTAATAAAATTGATTAGATGGTATTAACGTCAATTAAAAAAAAATTAATTTGGTCATCCGTATCAAATATCGCTGCACTTGGCATTCAAAGTAAATGTTGTTATTTTAATGGATAATAAATTATAACTTTTCGAAGAAGTAATATTCTTTCCATTACGATGTTATGGCACTTACAGTTTTTGAGAAATTCTACTTTCATTTATTCATTTTCATATGACGTATACACACTTATGCGAATATTGTCATGGTCTCCTTAATGACAATTGCACGAAAGCTTTCGTTATACCGGGTGCGAATACTTTCAAACCGAACATAGGGAATTAACATGGGGAAACAGTTTTTCGCAGATTGTTGCTCCCCTTAATTAACTTCATAATGCCACCATTGGAAAGAAGATTTTTTTCCGCATTTATCATATGCAAATTATTAACGTCTAGTTGCACGTTTAATTATTATTTTGCGAAATTAGGTAGTTAAAATGTGTACTTGGTTTAAAAAATCACGGTACTCATGAAAACAAAGTACGATAACTCTCAATAATTTTAATTTGTACTTACTACAAAACTTACGATGAAGTCCATTGAGGAAAATGTGTTTATTGTAAAAAACGTTTACGGCGGTAATAGTTACCGCAGAGTGCGAGATTTATTTTCCGTATGGAATTTAATCAAACTTCTATTCCGTCAATATCGACCATACGTCAGATAGTTTTTCAATTTGACAATTCCGGATGCTTAAATCTACGGGTCATGGCTACATGATTTTCTGAGTTCATTTTATTTTGCGAATTTTTGATACAATAATGAGAAAATACAAATAAAACTTCTAATTCGCATTTAGTTAGATGAGAAAAAAATCTTCTTTCCAGTGGTGCCATTATGAACCCTCTAAGTTAATTTGGGGAGCAACAAGCTGCGAAAAACTGTTTTCCCATGTTAATCCCTATGTTCGGTTTGAAAGTATTCACCCGGTATAGTAAAATGTATATTAATGATCTTATGTACGTTTTAAAATTGTGATCTAAACCTCGTATACATTCATTAAGCATCTTTATGATTTTTTACTTTAATTTATTATATGCACACGCAACAATACAAATTTTACAGTAACGAACTCCTTTGATCGATTTTCGTATTTTTGGCTGCTATGTCTTTGTCAGCTGTCTTCACTCCGGAGTTTCCTCTTGAGCCTTGGCATCTTTATTAAGGATCCTCAGTTTCTTTATAGTTTTGTATTGTCGTCCGTCCGTCGGTCCGTCCGTCAAAAGTTATAGCATTTTGGTTATAGCACTTCGAGTGAATCGAGAACAGGAAAAACTGCGGACTCAATATAATAGAAATCAACATATTTCATTCCCTATAGGTCATGTATCGAGTTCGGACTTTGGCTAGATTATTCCCTATGACTCTTAGATGCGTAACAATTCAATATAACTCTTTTCTTTGGTATAGGTCAAAAGTTTTAGAGCAAAATGTACCCAAAATTATACACATGAATTTGGAGTTTTAAAAGCTTTCAAACGCATTATCTTGATGCTGAAAAAGTACATGACATGCACATTTGATAACCGCATGTGTGTTCTGACGTCACATGAATTTTGGTCAAAATATGTCAAAATCGTTATTTATGCACCAAGATTGTTGGGAAAAAGACCAAGAGCATTATCTCAATGACCAAAACATGAATTTGATCTATATATTTTTTACGGTCACATGAATTTTGATCAAAACACAAAACACAAACAAACAAATTTGTTTAACTCCCCTCGCCGAATCTAGTTATTTATAATTTATATTCCAAATTAGTGGCTGAATAATGTAAACTCAACAATAATCGCCCTATTTTCGGGCATCTCCACAAAAAAATGTGCTGTTGTGGTCACTTTGTCAAGCCGTCTGTCCGTCTCGACGGCTGTTTCGCTCTTTTGTTATACATTTTTCGCTGTTTGGTTCGTTATGGTGCCGAGGCTTGCTCCAAGAAGAGAATTTTTTCTGCGTGTATTATTAAAAAAGTTATAGTGTCCGTTGTTGTCCGTCTGTCAGTCCGTCTGTACCACGATTAGTCCTCCAGATTAAGCTTTTTTGTTGTGGTTTCTTTCTTATACAGTGTAGCACAGCCCCGAGACTAGAAAGACAAAAGATTTTTTAGATTGGTCACGAGTTATTACTGATTCTGTGCGGGGAAAATGCACTTTCGTCGGCTTCGAGTGACCACGTTTTTAACTTGTTTGTGTTAGCCCTCTTAAAACTTGAAAGTTGGAAACTTTTTATTGCACCTGAGTGTAGTTATCCAATATGTTGTTTACAAACGGATAATAGGCGTATTTGGTAACCGAATTAAATTTAAGTCGCTGGGTACTGCTGGCGAGCGTTTCGCTTGAAAAGCGTTTATTTAAAGTGCTCGGCGCTCGAGCGGTTTTTTCGCTCATGAGCGTTTTTGAGAAAATTAGAGCGCTCGAGTGGTTTTTTAGAACGCTCCACCCAACTCTGGTCCCAGACAGAAAATGTCTCGCAATTAAGGTGGCAATGGGTGGTATGTTTTGCATTAATGGTTCCTACTTTTTAAATAATTATTTGCAAAATCACTATTTTTTTATTCATATCAGAATTTTCCTTGGATTCATGATCGGTGATTAAATTTACTGAGTTTTCTGTGAAATATCACAGAGCTTACTTGATAATAATATAACGATGTACAAAAAGCGCTTTTCGAAATTAACACTCTTGGTCCGAAAACTCTAAAATTTCATAAAGATTGGTGCACAAATAACAGATGCACAATAATTGTTTTACGTGTTGTTAGTCTGTGTATTGTACAATGAATTTTTGGATCTGCACAAAGTTATTTTAGCGCTTATGATGTGTGAGATCAATCCATTTACGAGTCCACTTATCATCTTTTTCAAACAGAGATGTTCCTTCGCATATTATCTAACCCGCGGGTGTGTTTCTCTCTAATAGAAACTAATGCAATATGAATTGTACAACAAATTTTTGTAAATTTGAACATTATTAACAAAAAAGCAAAACTCAAATAAATGAATTTGCGCTGAATTCACTGTATTGTCACTTAATTTATTTCGTTTATTTTCAAAGCGTGAGATTTATATGCAATAAATCATATTTTGTTGCATACAAATCCGTATTTTATTTTTCTAGTTTTACCTAAAATTGATAAATTGTCAACAATTTCAGTGTCAATCAAAGGCACTTGTTTGTTAAATGTCGTACTGACAATATAATTATAATGGCCAGTGCAAATTTAATTTACCTAATAATTAAAAATTGATTTACACATAGAACATTTTCTATACTATCAAATTTGTAAATTCGTAGGACGGGCACAAAAAGATGGCCCCAAAGCGCAGGGACAGTGATTTTTCTTCGATATTTTCTACTAGAATATCTTTTCACTTTGTGGTACTATCTGGTTGTTATTTCAGTTGCTTTTTTGGTGATTTATTCTTTTACCAATTTTTTCTAATTCATGGTTGACCTGTTGAATTAATCCTGCTTGTGCGTATATTCTTTCAATTTTCTTCTTTTAGACACTGAATTTTCTTGTGCGATCTTGTTTCTCACAACTAATTTCTTCTCTTAACTGAGTTCTTCCTTTGTATTATTGATTTTTTGATTTGTGGTCTTTATTTGTCTATTTGTATTCTCACCGGTATTCTTGCTTTCTTTCTAGAATTTCTACCGATTCTTTTCTACTTGCTACCATTTCTTTCCGCATTGCTTACATCATGCTTACCAATACTGGCACGTCCATGGTTATAATTTTCTTCGCCGTAAATAATGTCTTCCCTAGCTCCTTGATCTGCTATCTTATTTATTTGTTTCGTTGCAATTCTTGTCACTTTTTTAACTGATTAAAACTACTCAAATACTGTTTCCATTTCTCTTTGTATTTTGTATGTCTTAACTTCTCCCTTAATATTTTGGTTCCACCATCTTGTTTAATTTTATTTATTAATCTTGTTTCACATATTTCAACCGCTGATGCTGATAATACTACGTATTTCATTAACTTTCTGCCATATTCCTTCAACATTCATGTTCTCCCATTCTTGCCTACTCTTTTAGTTTATTTCAATTTTCTGGACGTATACCTTTACTGTTTCTTTAATCGTTAACATATATGATTTTATTGTTTCATTGGCCTTTTACAAGTATGTTTTTGTTTCTCTTGCATTTTAAGTTGCATGTTCGCTTCTAACAGATAATGATGATGATGGCTGGCCTAAGGCCATTTACAAGTATGCTCAGTAAGAGCGGGGCCCTCGCGGTCTCATATTCTTCATTCAAATCTTCAATTTTGTATTCACCACCATTTATAAATGTAATCGTGTTATTTTATTTCGATGCATTTCACCTATACGGTAAATTTCTCCCCATTTCTCCTATAAGACTGTAATTCTTCCATAATTTATAAATACTTACAGTTTTCTTTCTCCTTCCGTGAAGCATCAAATTGCTCTTGTTTACTTCCCTTTCTAAACGAGCCATTCGTCTGTTTTGTTGCTCATCCGCGAATTTAAGTTTGCCGTTCTCGCTTTTATTTCTTGTATTTCCTTCCTTTATCTCACATTATTATTTGATGGGGTTTCATTTTAAATTGACGGTGTTTAGTGGTCCCCAGGGTGCTTGGTATATCTATGAATAGCATTTCGCTAAAAGTTTGCCCATCAATCCAAAGTTTAAAAGTACAGATTATGAAAAAAACGAGACAAAAAGCTTTGGATGCATTCTAAAGCTACAAATAAAAAAAAGTTTATTAATTTTGTAGGCTCATTACGTTGCGATTTTTGTCAATTGTCACTGAGAGAACCCCGCGTACCTACACGCAGAT